CTCTCTCTCTCTCTCTCTCTCTCTCTCTCTATTTTAAATAAATTTGTTAATATATTTATGATTAAATTACAGTTACATTTGAATCGAGAGAGCACTATATCTTTGAGTACTCGTATTACACATACCAATGATGAGGACGAGGAGGAAGAGGCGATTCTTGCACAACAGATCCAACACCTCATAACAGAAAAGTATGCATTGAATGCCATTTATTCAATACATTAATTATTTGTTGTGTTATAGAAATCATTTGACAGAAATGTTGCCCTCATTTCGTTTGGGAAACGCCGGTTCAGACGACGACATGCTCTCATCGGCTACCGATTTGGCCGACTCTGTGACCACCGGCGCACTCACTGGAAGCGAAGACAATCTTAATTTCATACTCCAATCGCCATCTTATAGACAATCTGCGCCCGAATTTTCTGGCATGTATTCAATTCTAAAATTGCAAACATTTAAATAACATTAAAATTATAAACACTTAGGTTTGGATCAAAAGCGTCAATATCTACCAAATGACGAGCCTTTAAATCATTTAACCAAAAATCGTGTCTCTGTTCCCAATCGTCGAAAGCCATCACGTTTTGAGTCGACAACCGGTGGTCAGCAAAGGTTTGCCACAAATGGAGACAATAATAATAGTCGCCGACGAAGTGATTCCATGGATTACGTGAACCAATACCTGGATAATGACAAACCAGTTATGGTTTAATAAATTTTAATACTTTTAATATAAAGATTTTAATATTTAATTTGAATTTTAAACAAAAATGTCCAAAAAGTGATTAAAATGTTATAAGTCATTTTTAGACATTTCAAATATCAAGTGCTAACCCATTATAGCATTCTATTTCAACATTTATTCTATAAATTATTTCAACAGTTAATTGCCATAAATATTATGACAAATTAATTTTATAAAACTATTAAACTTTTAAATAATATTTTACAATACTTATTTTGTAATTTGCATGACATTAACTAGAAATAGATTATAATTGATTTCTTTATATCTATTATACAGTATACTGTACTAAATCCCCGTCTACTAAATCAAACTACAAATTTTTAAATAAGTGAATGAGGCTCAGTTTTGGATAAATATTTTAACATGTTTACAAATGATTATTCTCTATACCATTGATATTGTCAGAAAAATTGTATCAAAACTACAGAATCTATTTTCTATAATGAGATAATTTATATTTAATGTATTAAATAATTGAACAAAAGCACAAATTGATGAAATGATGTCCCGATTTCATGCCTTTCATTATTTGTTAAATTGTCGTTTAAATGATGGAAACGGCTATATATTAGTCCCAAAATCAAAATCTATTTTAATTAATTGCTTTGAATACAAAACTGTTTTATACGATTCTAAATTTGCAAATTTAATTATACAGCTCATTGTTTTCCAAAATTTACCACACATATTCTTAAATTGCCTTTATTTATCAAAGACTTACACAATGGAATCAAATGTGAATACCCAGGGTGTATTGAGCCAAAAACTTTATTCGTAATATTATTCAAAACTTGTGAAACATATATCAAATCATTTGTTTTCTATACTGTTTGTCATTTCAGGTATTGTTTAAAAACATAGAAATCTCATAACAAAAACTTATATAAAGAGAACTTAAATTGTCATATTATATGCCAAATATTAAATATATTTAGTGTACAATTGTGTACATCATATAAATCAGTTGTCAAATGGTTCATTATATGTATACAAACTGTGTGTATATATTTAAAGTGAATAATGTATAAGAAATTAATTATTTATTTTATATAAATAGGGATTAAATATATATTGTTTAGAAATTATTTGTGTAAATAAATACATAAATTATTACCAATTTTAAAACCACCTCTTTTTAAGTAACAAATAATTGTTCATATTTTGGGATAAACTTATGTCCTATAATGTGATGAGATGTGAATTGTTTGCAAATTATATTTATATAATTAATTATATATTTATTGATAAAAACTATTTTGTCATTATTGATCATATATTTGTATTTCAAACATATATTTCATACCAAATAAAATAATACAACATTTGTTATGTTTTTAAAATTTTTTGTTGAAGCAATCAATTTGTTTAAAAACCTTAATTATTTTGATTCCTAAACGCATAGTTAGTTCCAGTGCTAAACACCTTTACTTGTTTGATAACATGGCTGTAAGTTTGAACATAAGGCGTGCAAATGATTGCCAAAGTCGGGCAAATGTAGCCCTTGTTTGCAAATTATCGACCAATCAATGACCACATCTAATCCAACCAACCGTTAATTATTACAAATTAATTTATTCACAATATAATAATTATCGAAAATACTATTAAGCAGAGTTGCGTTGAAAATTTAATAGACAATTATAAACTTGTTTGAATATAATATATACTATATAAAGTTTGTGTTATAATAATGCCATACATGTTATAAATGATAAAATCAATTGATTTAATGTAAAGTTACAACAGACATTTAAATTGTATTCATTAAAAATGTAAAAATTAGTGTTTAGCAAGATTATTGATGGCTCTAAGCAAAAGCAATTGAATCGATTTATATGGTATTGTATCAAGTTTAGTGAAGCCATAGAAATCACATTGTTGCATCGTTTTAAACTTCATCTCGTCCTCCAATATCTTGATTATTTTGTTGAAACCCTTCTCCACGTAGTCTTTGATCTCATCGCGTAAATCCAGTTCTTCCGCAAATATTCCAACCGTTTTAGACGTCCATAAGTTTAAAACACTACACAAATTAGATATTTTTAGTATAACTATTATATTACACTCAAACTTCTATGTTATCAATGGTTCCAGGGCATTTGGTTCATAGCATAAAAAGTACATTGAAATACATTATATATTTGTTTAATGACTACAAATGAGATATAATTTACTGTCTAGAGAAATAATTAGTTATTTTAGATTATACGTAAGCTTAAATTTAATTTTAAATACATTGATTTGCATTTCATTCAAATTATCATTAAATTGGATTCAATTGAGAGAATCATCTGTAATCATAAGTCTAATGAGTTTGGGTATAGGTTGACAGGGCAGAAGTTGTTATACATGGAAATGCGACCAATTTAGGCCAGAATGTGTTGATATGATAGATTAGTTGACAACACAGAAGTTGACAGCATAGACATTATTTTACTATTATGTTTATGGTGTGTATTTGGGTTTTTGGATTTGGTTGATACCATAGAGATGGTTGACAACATATTAATAGAAGTTTCAATGTATTGCGAAAAACCACAAAATTTGAAAATCTAAAATAATGTTGCCAGTTTTTCAGTGTCACCTACCACGCAAGCCTGGTCAATTTAATTTTAGTGCCTTGTCTGCCAGCTTCGGTGAGTAACTCGTTGAAGCCATCTCGGTGACTCTTCGCCTCTCTGCACGCCATGTTAGCGGCCATCGATTTCTTCTGTAGTCTCTGACCTCCCTTTGTATTCTTCGGATGACAGGCTCTAGCAATATATGCCGCCCCCTCTTCTGNCTATTAAACTTTTAAATAATATTTTACAATACTTATTTTGTAATTTGCATGACATTAACTAGAAATAGATTATAATTGATTTCTTTATATCTATTATACAGTATACTGTACTAAATCCCCGTCTACTAAATCAAACTACAAATTTTTAAATAAGTGAATGAGGCTCAGTTTTGGATAAATATTTTAACATGTTTACAAATGATTATTCTCTATACCATTGATATTGTCAGAAAAATTGTATCAAAACTACAGAATCTATTTTCTATAATGAGATAATTTATATTTAATGTATTAAATAATTGAACAAAAGCACAAATTGATGAAATGATGTCCCGATTTCATGCCTTTCATTATTTGTTAAATTGTCGTTTAAATGATGGAAACGGCTATATATTAGTCCCAAAATCAAAATCTATTTTAATTAATTGCTTTGAATACAAAACTGTTTTATACGATTCTAAATTTGCAAATTTAATTATACAGCTCATTGTTTTCCAAAATTTACCACACATATTCTTAAATTGCCTTTATTTATCAAAGACTTACACAATGGAATCAAATGTGAATACCCAGGGTGTATTGAGCCAAAAACTTTATTCGTAATATTATTCAAAACTTGTGAAACATATATCAAATCATTTGTTTTCTATACTGTTTGTCATTTCAGGTATTGTTTAAAAACATAGAAATCTCATAACAAAAACTTATATAAAGAGAACTTAAATTGTCATATTATATGCCAAATATTAAATATATTTAGTGTACAATTGTGTACATCATATAAATCAGTTGTCAAATGGTTCATTATATGTATACAAACTGTGTGTATATATTTAAAGTGAATAATGTATAAGAAATTAATTATTTATTTTATATAAATAGGGATTAAATATATATTGTTTAGAAATTATTTGTGTAAATAAATACATAAATTATTACCAATTTTAAAACCACCTCTTTTTAAGTAACAAATAATTGTTCATATTTTGGGATAAACTTATGTCCTATAATGTGATGAGATGTGAATTGTTTGCAAATTATATTTATATAATTAATTATATATTTATTGATAAAAACTATTTTGTCATTATTGATCATATATTTGTATTTCAAACATATATTTCATACCAAATAAAATAATACAACATTTGTTATGTTTTTAAAATTTTTTGTTGAAGCAATCAATTTGTTTAAAAACCTTAATTATTTTGATTCCTAAACGCATAGTTAGTTCCAGTGCTAAACACCTTTACTTGTTTGATAACATGGCTGTAAGTTTGAACATAAGGCGTGCAAATGATTGCCAAAGTCGGGCAAATGTAGCCCTTGTTTGCAAATTATCGACCAATCAATGACCACATCTAATCCAACCAACCGTTAATTATTACAAATTAATTTATTCACAATATAATAATTATCGAAAATACTATTAAGCAGAGTTGCGTTGAAAATTTAATAGACAATTATAAACTTGTTTGAATATAATATATACTATATAAAGTTTGTGTTATAATAATGCCATACATGTTATAAATGATAAAATCAATTGATTTAATGTAAAGTTACAACAGACATTTAAATTGTATTCATTAAAAATGTAAAAATTAGTGTTTAGCAAGATTATTGATGGCTCTAAGCAAAAGCAATTGAATCGATTTATATGGTATTGTATCAAGTTTAGTGAAGCCATAGAAATCACATTGTTGCATCGTTTTAAACTTCATCTCGTCCTCCAATATCTTGATTATTTTGTTGAAACCCTTCTCCACGTAGTCTTTGATCTCATCGCGTAAATCCAGTTCTTCCGCAAATATTCCAACCGTTTTAGACGTCCATAAGTTTAAAACACTACACAAATTAGATATTTTTAGTATAACTATTATATTACACTCAAACTTCTATGTTATCAATGGTTCCAGGGCATTTGGTTCATAGCATAAAAAGTACATTGAAATACATTATATATTTGTTTAATGACTACAAATGAGATATAATTTACTGTCTAGAGAAATAATTAGTTATTTTAGATTATACGTAAGCTTAAATTTAATTTTAAATACATTGATTTGCATTTCATTCAAATTATCATTAAATTGGATTCAATTGAGAGAATCATCTGTAATCATAAGTCTAATGAGTTTGGGTATAGGTTGACAGGGCAGAAGTTGTTATACATGGAAATGCGACCAATTTAGGCCAGAATGTGTTGATATGATAGATTAGTTGACAACACAGAAGTTGACAGCATAGACATTATTTTACTATTATGTTTATGGTGTGTATTTGGGTTTTTGGATTTGGTTGATACCATAGAGATGGTTGACAACATATTAATAGAAGTTTCAATGTATTGCGAAAAACCACAAAATTTGAAAATCTAAAATAATGTTGCCAGTTTTTCAGTGTCACCTACCACGCAAGCCTGGTCAATTTAATTTTAGTGCCTTGTCTGCCAGCTTCGGTGAGTAACTCGTTGAAGCCATCTCGGTGACTCTTCGCCTCTCTGCACGCCATGTTAGCGGCCATCGATTTCTTCTGTAGTCTCTGACCTCCCTTTGTATTCTTCGGATGACAGGCTCTAGCAATATATGCCGCCCCCTCTTCTGCCAACACTTTGCCCACGTTTTGGACCAACGGATTGTTGGGATACAGACTTTGGAACTCACCACTTAGAAACGGTACCGTCAACTTCTTTTGACTAGCAGTACAATTATTAAAACAATAATATAAAAATAATATACACGACATGTGTTACTGCATCAAACTATGGCTCACCCGTTGCAATATTTCTGCATATCCGACGCCTCTTCGGGGTAATAGTGTTTTGGGTCTCCGAATAACATCTGATTTGCCAACAATTCATCCAAGTCTTCAATCTTCATAAGAGACGAGGCTATCATATATGGTGTCAATAAATATGATATATTCAATTATATTTTAGATAACTTTAATTTATTTTGTAAAGTAATTTTAAATGGTGTCAATGCAATTGGTTACCGGGTTTTAAGGTAATTTTGGTGGTAGTGGCAGAAGTTGTGACAGTGGTTAATGTGATTGTTGTTGGGTCCGCTGAAGTGGTGGTTGGATTGATAGTAGTAGTGGTTACCATATCTGTGACATTAGCATCTGTGGAACTGTTTGCAGTTGAGGAATTGTCGGGCGACGGAGTCGTCATTGCGTCCATTTCAGTTATATCAAGGTTGGTTAGGCTTTTGGCTATTGTAGTGGTGGGAGCTATGGTGGTAGTGACAACAGTGGTGTTGATGTCGGGGGCTTTAGTTGCAATAATGCCGGACAAACAGCAGTTGGTTGTGAGGCTGGGATCGTTGGTTTCAGTAGTGGTACTCATAGTGGAGGTGATAGTGGATGTACTAATGGAAGAAACAAGTGTTGCGTTAGACGTCAACATTGGAGTAGTTGTTGTAAATATAGTTGAAGACAAAGTAGCGGTGGAATCACTTTCATTGTTAGAGTAATCCGTAATGTTAGCCAACTCTTTGCCGAGACTTGACTATAAAAAGTACTTCACTTGTTAAACATATAAAAATGAATGTTGTATAATTGAGATAGTTACATTGGTCATATCACGTTGTTTTGTGTTTACTGTTCTAACAATATTATGTTGAATCTGTATTAATTGTTTTTATAAAATTTGTTTGTATTGCATTTGTTGTAAGAGTTAACTGATCTGTAATATTAATGGCATCGTTAATTTCATAATATCTAAAAGACCATTTATATTTAATTATGAAATACTAGCATCAAATTGACTAGTTGTATTTATAGTTTTATTGATTGATGATTGTTAATTAATAGATTGGTAATCATTTGTTGTATTGGAAATACTTTGTATTTTAGTATTAATATTTATAGTTAATAGTCGTGTTTTGTATAATTGACCATTTTGTAAATTTACATAAACACGGTTACTCACAGTTTCCAAATCATTAAGAGTTATATTTGATTTTGTGCTCGTTTTAGTGCTGACCGATGAGTCATTTCCAATTATATTTGTCATATTGACGGCAACCGTTGGGTGAGTTTGGTTAACAACTATTTTAGAAGTTTGTGTAGAATTCAACAAGGTAGTTTCTTTGCCATTATATTTGGTTAGACTTGAAGATTTATCGTAAATATTATGATGGCTTATAAAGTTGGTTTTGTTATTATTTGAGGATACTGTGCGGTTTTCACGTGTCAATTGATTGACTGTAGTGTTGGCAGTATAGTTTTGTGTCTTGGTAGTACAACCGTTTTCACTTCCATTTATGGTAATGTGTACATTGATAGTTAAGTGCAATACAGCTCCATTGTTTAAATTGATTGCATTAATTAAATTAAAATTTCCATCTGTATTGTTGAACAATAGATTATTTAAGTATTAAAATTTTAATGATGTAATATAACAATGTAAACGTAAGTGTCAACACCATGTACCTTTTTTAGAACCTAAATTTAGCGCTAAATTGCCGGTTCCGGTGTCAAGTGTTATGCCGTTTGATATAACACTTGAGGTTGTATTTGCAATTCTAACGTTACATATGAAGACTAAGTCTGTTATAATAACAATAATTAGTTTGTAAAATCATTTACTAATTATATAAATCAATAAATAAATAATTACTATCAAATAGTTTATTACATACATGCTATTAGAACCAAGTACCGAGTACCAGGGATCTTAATTATCATTTTTAATTAGTGAACTATATTTGTAATAATAATACAAATATCAACAAAATACTTTTTAATAACTTTAATAAATAAACAGCCGTTTTTATTAGATAGATACTAAACAGTAGAAGTTTAATATTATTCATGCAATGCTGTCCATTAAACCCATACTACGTATACACCCGTGTTAACTTAGATCTAGTGTTAACTTTATCAGGTTTATCTGATCCATCTTTAGGTTTATCTAAGAACCTCTCACCACAAATAATTCATATCATCTTAAATGGTGACACAAATTTAGTAATTACTCGCGGTGGGCCCTCCCGGCAGGTAAGTATATTATCCCGGCTATTAGAGCCCTATTATCTGTAGCTAACCCTCATTATATTGTAATATTCCTTATCTTAATAGTAAATATTACTTTCAATTAGTAACACTTGTAATACGTATTATGTATTATGTAAATGTTTTACACATTATACAATTTTTTAGATTTAAAAAAACAAATTTATTTATTACTAAATCAAGTTAATGCCATGATTATATTAAAAATATATTAATTATTCTCTGCTTATATTTAATATCAATAAAATGTAAACAATTAATATTTATATTATAATATTATATATTTAGATATAAAATATAATTTGTTAATTTCCAATATTTAATTAAACTTTAGTTTTTTAGCTACAATATTTATATGGGCTGCATCTCATTCAAGGTCTGAATTGAAATTTATTAAAATTTAATCTCATATATTGAAGGTTTA